TGAATTGAACTGCGATACGGGTAGTTTTTGTCCAAGGCTACAATATAAAAATATGAATCTAAAAACGCGAGTCATGTTCAGGTGCTCCCGTCATATATCTAGAGAACCTTGATAAAATCCAAAGAAGGACTAGCAATATTATTAGTCTTGATCTGGCATCTCAGCTTCAATCCTTTTTCCACCGCCGTAAAGTTGCCTCTCTGTTCCTTTACTATAAATACTTCCATAGCATCTGTTCAGATGATGTGATCTTCGCCAGGATACTTAGCCTTTATGAATTTAAGCGCAGTACTCGACTGGCGACGTCGTATCACCAATATACATTTAAGTTGGCTAGATGTAACCGTAAGTTTTATGCTAACAGTTTCTCTTCTTGCGCTTCTCGATTGTGGAACTTCTGTTTCGGCTCTATGCTTTCCAGTCAATTTCAAAAATGTAAATGCAAAGTGAATCGCTTTCTACTGTCCTCCTGATAATACTTAGTAAAGTTTCTGTTTTCTAATTCTTTCACATCCAGTAACTCTTGTATCTTAGTGGCTTTACTTCCTTACTTGGGGTGAAAGTAATTAAAAATAAGAAAATCCTCGTAAAATCTAGACTATCCTATGGACATCATACATGAGAGAAATGTTTAGACTGTCACCTACATACAACCATTTTCTCAGATCAAGAATTAAAAATGTCTTCAACCCCAAGACTATAATATAATCAGATAATTCATCAGAACTTTTAGACCGGTGCTACAGAATCACAAAGGAATTTACCAAATAGCAAAAAACATCACCCAACTTCAGCAACAACTAACACAGATAGCATATGTAACATTCTCTCTCTCTCTCTCTCTCTCTATATATATATATATATATATATATATATATATATAGACCTGGTTAGAACCTTCGCTTTTTGACCATGAGACCCGGGATCGAATCTCACTATGGTCGATTTCTCAGAAGGAGACTTCCTGATGTTATCGCTCTGGGGGAGGGACGATCCCAGAGTGTGGCAACTTTGGAAAGCGCTTGAAAACCATACTAGGAGTATGTGAATGAAAATGGGCAGACGGAACACCGTCGATAGCTGTGCCAGCCCGAAGTGACAAGTCATCGTGACTGAGGGTTTAAGTGTGCTGGTGTTGTTCACATTGTTGATCATTCTAGATAACACGCTCTCTCCAAGAAAGTGTAATTAAGGTCTGCTCAGCATAGTTACAGTATAAACTACAGGTGGGCTCTGTGGATGTTGAACAAACACAAATGTGCCTGAGCGAGAGTCTTCAATAGGGAATGGCTAGACGGGTATCCTCGAATACTACTGACAAGCTATTATTAGTATCTATCTCTCTTAGAGGCTGAAACAGTAATTGTTTCCTGCGCTTGTGGTCGTTGTTTGAAACTAGATAAAACTGTGGGAACTTTTAACATCAGCAACAACACAAATGGATATCACATGTGACTAGAAGGGAAAATAATAGGATTAACAAACTGTTGATATTCCACATGACTTCAAATAAAAGGTTAGTAAGGAAAGCTCCGTCAATACTGGAAAGAGCGATAACAGCCACTGGACTCGGAAAAACTATTTTCTTGAAATATTATTTTAAGAGAAAGATTTTATAAACTTCGAAGAATGCTAACTTTTCGGCCAATGAATAGCGAATATTTAACTTATGAGGAAAATCACTAATTTCCCCATTACTATTACGATGTCATGCGGAAAGAATTTAGCATTGTTTGATTATCCACTGATATTTCGTGGCTAGATTGCTGGGACACTGCCACTGAGATGACAGCTGTTTAATATATTTCTCGGCTTAATATTAGCAAAGATATACAAGGAAAATGTGAATTTTAGATCGAGGTCAGTGGCACGCGAGAACTTCGGGCCTCTCCGGGTGATGTAAACACGGTGCCCTCGAAAATGACAGGATGGTAATCACTCAACGAGGAGGAATATTTGCAACACATCACATCTCGAATCAAAGCTGATGCTACTCAACTCCAAAGTCAATGTAATAGTATACATTGCATTATATAGAGTTTAATTGTCATCGACCAACAAAAGTAGCGACGTTGACGCCTCGAAGTTTATTACTGCACATTATCCGGGATGAGGAACATAGTGTAAAGTGCAAAATTGCAGCCGTGAAAAATGATCATACGTCTCACGTTTTCCCCGAAGACGGTCGAATTCGTGTGTAGAGGAGACAACATTAGACTTTGTATACAGCCTCTCAACAAGGTGATGTGCAAAATGGTGGTGGCTACGTATTGATTTGGGTTGTGTCTTATTGCAGTACGCTTTAATGAAACACGAGTAAAATTAGGATATTTCTTGGCAGATCTTATAGCAACCTATTGAATGATCTGTTTTTACGGCTTATCAACCCGCTGCAGGTTATTTAAAGCCAGAAAATATTTTTAGATTGTAAGAATTTTTTGAAGATAATAATGATTTATTGATACACGTTCTACTGATTAACACATAGCTGGGGAAGAAGTAGTGAATTCATACCTTTCTCAAGGGTATTTGCTCGTAAGTAAAAATAACGAACCCGACTGGAATTGGAACTCAGCTCTCTGGTTTCCAATTTTGTGTCGTTATCCATTACACCACCCGTCTGTCCAAGCTACCAGCACCTGGTATTCCCAATCGGTCACCCATCTTAGCTCGATGTTGCTTAACTTTAGTGATCATACGTCTCTAGCAGAAGATAATATACGCTCCTTTATGTGCATCATGAACACCCGAAATTGACAAATTGAGAGCAGTACTGTTTGTATCAACCGTTTAGTTCGAAGAAGCTCACAATCGAAGACTCCCCACTTTTTAATTTTATTATACTCGCTACCAGTAATTTTGTTTCTTTCCTTATTAATTAATTAATTAACATTGCAGTTTGTTTTTATTGTTCTCTTATTAATCTTGTTTTTATATTTACTTGAAAATCTTTCTCGTTAGCAACTTACCAGTTTCTTCTGGATAATTAATATTGTTGTAACCTAGGGAAGGTTACTGAATAGAATAATCAAAGGAAGGTTGGTAATGAATGATAATATTTAGGACAAGAACAACACATATAAGATTCGCCAGCGGCGCGTAGAAGAAGTAATCAGCTGTTAGAAGTGAGTCAAGTGAATTCCACAATGCATCCCCAACTGCAGTATATCTAGCAAACCCTCCCACGCGGTCAGATATGACACAAGGCCGAATTTAATGTTGGGTATCCAATCCCGTCGGCTCGGCCAAATAAATCCCCGGACCCCGTAAAAAACGGGATCAGGTAGATGTTTCCCGAGACGAGACTCTGCCCTTCGAGATTTTGACCAGCAGAACTAGAGACGAATCTCCAACTGCAGACCAACATTCAGTATTTACTACTGTATTTATGTGAATGGGGACATACCCATTATCGTCCGTGGGTATGCTATAACAAATATTCACACCGATATCTTCTTCTTCTTCTTCTTCTTCTTCTTCTTCTTCTTCACAATATTTCCTTCTCAGTTCGAAGAAGCTCACAGTCGAAGACTCCACACTTTAATCCAATCATACAAGTAACATCATTTTCTTTGGGTGAAGATGACCTTTGGTACTGGCTGTGATGGTTTTTTTCGATTGGCCCCCGACCTTTTGTTTTGCATTGGTAAGTGGGAACGTATCTGCATTTAAGAAATATCATAAGAAGTATATAAAATGGTTTTATTCGTAATATCCTGATGCAGATTTTATTGTTTACAGAAGTGCCTGAGCAGGCGTCTTCAGCATGGATTGGCTAACCGCCCTAGTAAACAGACATAGACGGATACGTCCAGACAGTCATTACTGTTTGATTTTTTAAATATGAAATTATGCAAATTTTGAATTCATACATTCGATATGGAGAGAAAAGCGAGATCATCGCGCTCTGTGAGGAGAGGTTGAAATTATAGACAAAGAACATCATTGGAAAATTCGTAAACTTAATGAATCAGCACATATGCGAGGCCACAAAAATCTCCTGAGCCGACCAAGCATAAAAATGAATGCAATATGAGAACCAGTAATAAAGAGTACTAGAGAAAAGCGATAACAACAACGAAAATTGCAAATGAGTTCTGGTAAAAACATGAATTGATAACAGCAAAATTGCAATATGAGCACTGGTAGAAAATGGTGGCTGAAGACATTAGGTTTATAATAACCAAACATTCATACTCAGATGTCCTCAAGGACACATGGCACCGTGGATAAAGCGTCAGTTAGATCCCAAAGAGTGTGAGTTCAATACCTGGTTAAGGCTGTGGTGAACATGGAAGGGGAATTAACTGATAACTGATATCCATTAGACATGGAATGTGGAACTAGAACAGTCTACCCCAGTGAGCGAAATAAAGGGTTCAGTTCGACATTCCAATCATCTGAAGAAGGCTGAAACGTTGTGATAAATATGACAACAAAGATAAGGATAATAGTTCGAATAATGTAAATAGTCATACATTCATTTTAGTAAATATTAAAGGGCAATAACATCGAGGGAACTGGTGAGGATCGAACTAGAATATTACTGTATGGCGGACGGCTAATATACTATCCGCTGTAAGTGTGCTATATATATATATATATATATATATATATATAGACGACTCTTCTTCTTCGTTTTATTGTTAGAAATGCCTTGAAATGTTCATATCTAGTGGCAGTATATTGACACGATTTAATAATATCCTGGCTAGCGTGGGTCGTCACTGCACGGATATCCTTCATGAATTTTTATGAATTGCAGGCGCCCTCTATCGGCCGGCGATTGCAATCACAGATTCCCACGCTCGGGCGTCGAATTAGGGCTTGTCGCTTAGACGCGAAATCTACTCGGATCTGACAGAGTCGCGGAGATGGGCGGGTGCTTGGAGGCTGTCGGAGGTCAGAGAGACAAAACGTTGGTTCTTCGCCAGTGCTCTGTTTCATGTGATTATTTAAAAGGCTGGCTTGGATACGATACTCTGGCCGCTGAGATCCTTTTAGAATATGGCAGTACGACGACTAAAGATAAAAGCGAAATGAGATATAAAGTGAAAGAGGACAGGAAACAGAGGGAGAAAGAAGAGAGCAAGAAGAAGTAAACAGAATGTAGAGAGAGTGTCTGAGAATTGAGCGATAATCACGTTTTTAAGCAGAAAGAAAAGGAAACAAGAGAAGACGGTCAGAGAGAGAGAGAGAGAGAGAGAGAGAGTGAGAGAGAGAGGGGGGGAAAGAGAAAGAAAGAAGATAGAGAAAGTAAGAGAACAAAATGTGAAGAGTGTGTATGTGAGAGAGAGATAGGAAACTGAGAGACTGAGAGAAGTAGAGAAAAGCGAGGAGAAAAGAAAAAGAGGAAGGAAAATAAAGAGAGGAATAGAGAATGAGACAGAAAAGGAAAGTGTGAAGATTTAACAGGGGGAATAAGAGAGAAAGGTAGAAGATTGGCAAAGAGAAAAAAATAATGAAAGAAAGACCTAAAACAAAGAAAAGAAAAAGAAAGCGAACGAGATAAAAAAAGAGAAGAAAAGAAAGAACGAAAAGAAAAAAAAATGAGACATTGAACAAATACTGATAACGATAATAGAGAGAAAAGAGGAGGGAAAATGCAAGTGATAATGACAAAATGTATGAGAGAGAGAGAGAGAGAGAGAGAGAATGAGATAAAAGAAAGAAAAGAGACAGAAAAAATAAAGAAAAAACTAGTGAGAGAGAAAGAGAGAGAGCGAGAGAGAGAGAGAGAGAGAGAAATAACACCGTTAGAAGAAAAGAAACGCAGGCATTATAAGCAGTCCTATGATAAAATGCAGAGTTTTCTACCATTTTATTCCCCATAACGAAGTATCAAGTCAGAATATGTAACTCCTGATGTGACCATCAAATGATAATAGTGCGCATCCCCAGGCGCATCCCCAGGCGCATATCAACTTATTTTCCTAAAATCATACAAGACTAGAATCTGTATCATTTACTGTTCTGAGACATATTGTATGAAGCTTCATATGTATGTCTTTTCCTATGATGCTATTTAAATATTTTGAGAAAAATATCATTTTATACAGGTGGTTCTTTCAACCTATCTATCTACCTATCCATCTATCTATGGTACGTTTCTTTCTTTCTTTCTTTTTTCTTTCTTTCTTTCTTTCTTTCTTTCTTTCTTTCTTTCTTAGTCTATTCATCTCTCTCTCTCTCTCTCTCTCTCTCTTTATCCATACATCTGAATAGAAATGATAGGTTTCTTTCTTTCTTTCTTTCTTTCTTTCTTTCTTTCTTTCTTTCTTTCTTTCTTTCTTTCTTTCTTAGTCTATACGTATCTATCTATCTATGGTGCGTTTCTTTCTTTCTCTCTTTCTTTCTTTCTTAGTCTATTCGTATCTATCTATCTATGGTACGTTTCTTTCTTTCCTTCTTCCTTTCTTTCTTTCTTTCTTTCTTAATCTATTCGTATCTATCTATCTATCTATGGTACGTTTCTTTCTTTCTTTCTTTCTTTCTTTCTTTCTTTCTTTCTTTCTTAGTCTTTTCGTCTCTCTCTCTATATTCATATATCTGAATAGAAATGATAGGTTTTTTGTTTGTTTGTTTATTTGTTTGTTTGTTTCTTTCTTTCCTTCTTTCTTCCTTCCTTCCTTAGTCTATTCGTATCTATCTATCTATCTATCTATCTATCTATCTATCTATCTATCTATCTAATGAATGTTTTATTGTTCCAAGGTAATTTTTTCTCGTTGGAAACATACATATAAATAAATATAATACTCGTCCCCAATAATTAATTACTGCGCCGGACACCTGTTCTGTATGTATCAGAACGATTCCAGACGGTACATAAAACAACCCATGGATAATAATATCTATTATTTAACAATAAAGAATTTCTGAATATTTATTTACTGTTTCTGAGTGCATGTTCACCAGCAGAATATGGAACAGCCAAAGTCAAACAATCATGATAATTGGATCGTTATAAAAGATATGACGGTTAGGAGACACTATATATAAAGTTTTATTTTTTAGTTTCTTTAATTTAGATAAACACTTAAAATTCAATCGTACTTTGAGGCTTATAACAGGACAGGCAGATATCCCAGTGTTTGTGCGCATGCGTTAATCATGCTTCGTTGTCTTGCTGAACGGAAATCCAACACAGTGGGCGGACAAATACGGATTGACTAAATGTAAGACCAAATATCATTTAAGGAAGCATTTGTACGTGACATCTGCCGTATTAACGTTAAGCCTACCAGTAAAAACTGTCGTTATCTTGTGATTAAAAGTTTTCCACCATTTTATATACGTCGGGGGGCACGCCTTCTCACATTTTCCTTCTAGAAGTGCAGTTGATTTTGTTATGACGGCGCATGCATTCTTTTCGTTATTAATCTTTCTTCGTGAGATTTGGCCTTGGAGAAATGGCGGAAAAGTACAAAGTGTCACGTCATTTTGTCTTCAGAGATATTGGACGTGGAATAATAAAGTAACATTTTTCTTATTAACATTTTCTACTCGCTATTATGACAATTCAAATTAATTTTGTTATACTCGCTACCGGTGATTTTGTTTCTTTCCTTATTAATTAATTAATTAACATTGCAGTTTGTTTTTATTGTTCTCTTATTAATCTTATTTTTATATTTACTTGAAAAGCTTTCTCGTTAGCAACTTACCAGTTTCTTCTGGATAATTAATATTGTTGTAACCTAGAGAAGGTGACTGAATAGAATAATCACATGGTAATAAACGATAATACTTAGGATAAGAACAACACATATAAGATTCGCCAGCGGCGCGTAGAAGAAGTAATCAACTGTTAGAAGTGAGTCAAGTGAATTCCACAATGCATCTCCAACTGCAGTATATCTAGCAACCCCTCCCACGCGGTCAGATATGGCACAAGGCCGAATTTAATGTGGGGTATCCAATTCCGTCGGCTCGGCCAAAAAATCCCCGGACCCCGTAAAAAACGGGATCAGGTAGATGTTTCCCGAGACGAGACTCTGCCCTTCGATATAGCCTCGGGGGCTGAGATTTTGACCAGCACGTCTGGAGACGAATCTTCGACTGCAGACCAACATACAGTATTTACTACTGTATTGATGTGAATGGGACATATCCATTATCGTCCGTGGATATGCTATAATAAATATTCACACCGATATTATCTTCTTCTTCTTCTTCTTCTTCTTCTTCTTTTTCTTCTTCTTCTTCACAATATTTCCATCTCAGTTTTTTTCTTGCTCATCTTCTTTCTCTTCTCCTTTTTATTCCGGCTCCTCTTTCTCCTCTTCCTCATTTTCCTTCGCATCTTCTGCTGTCTAATCTTCTTTTCCCTCACAACATTTCCTTCGTTTTATTCTTGCTCATCTTCCTCCTCTTCGCCACTTTCCTGCATGTCTTCTTTTTCTTCTTCTTCTTTACAATATTTCCTTCTCAGTTTTTATTCTTGCTCGTCCTCCTCCTCTTCCTCACTTTTTCATCTTCTTCTTCACAGCATTTCCTTCCTAGTTTTATATGACCTTCCTTCTCTTCCCCACTTTCCTCTGAGTCTCATTCTTTTTCATCTTGTTCTTATCCTTCATCTTTTTTCATCATCATCATCATCATCTTTTTCATCTTCTTCTTCAGAATATTTTCTTCTCAATTTTATTCTGGCTCCTCTTTGGTACTTCGACTGCATGGATTTAAGCGTAGTGGCAAATTGGCTGTTAGGTCTCATCATTTTACGGTTGGAATTGATGTAACAGTAGCTTCTCTTCCAGTAGTTTCTTCTTTCGCACCGCCCACGTGTGGAACTAGATCACGTGCATATCTATGTAGGTAATATACTTGTTTTCTAGGCTTTCTTGCCTCCTTGTCATTTCTCTTCTCTTTCGTCTCCTCCTTTCTTTCCATTCCCCGGGCGTTTCAACATTTCTCAAATCACAGATAGCTAATAAATGCCTATCTTCGAATGCAACAAGCTAATTGACAAACGAGCGAGTCTCCCAGCTACCAATTACTAATCTCCCCCGAATAACTCCCCCACCACGTCCCTGCCCCAGCGGATATCAGCGCCACTTGTCCGCCCTGCCGAAATGAACCGACCGGTTCTTGATACCATTCTGCCTGAAAGAACAAAGAATTATCCTTATATCAGAAATGCTCGTGAACATTTCACGGTTTTCCTATTGGAATTTCCTGATGAATCTTAATTCTTAAGTTAATAATTGGTTAGTTTTTCACGGTTTATCAACCCTTTGTTTGCAGGTTACTTAAAGCCAGTAAATGCTATTAAATAGTAAGAATTTTTTTTTTTTTTTTTTTAGATAATAATGATTATTGATACAAGTTTTACTAATTAACCCATAGCTGGGGAGAGAAGAGATAGATTCATACCTTTCACAGAGGCATTTTGCGCATAAGTTAATATAAAGCATCGAACCGGAATTGGATCTCGGCTCTCCTATTAACCATTCCGACCTATTATCCATTACACCACCCGCACCCCCAAGCTTACAGTACCTGGTATTCCCAAGCAGTCACCCATCTTTGGTGTATTCATCCTTTTAAGAGTATGCCACACCGATGGTCATAAATACCACATAAAAAAACACGTATAGTGGACAGCATTCAGGTAATTCATGATTCATAATCTATTCTTCTGTTATGACCATGGTAAAAAAAAAATAACTATTATAAGTGATTTACATTTCTTTTGGTGGTCTCTTTTAAACAGACGTCACGCTGAGAGAATTGTGTTAAACAATTTGCATATCACCTGATATTTACTGATTTAGGGTGTTCAATTTTGATAGATTGTAAATGTATGTACAGGATAAGTGAAAAGTAACTCCCTATTTTATGTATGAGCGGTCAACCAGGAGTCCTGACCTAACACACTGTGACCTTTTTCTTTGTCGTTGGTTAAATGTGCAAGTTTACTATCAGTTATGCGCCATGCGTGATACACGCTTAGACGATCATGTATCTTTCGATACATGACTGACGAGGCAGATTTTTTCCCGCAGTAGGTTGCCATATGTTTCTTCGGTAGACCAGTTGCCATCCAAGGCTATAGAACCCGGTCTCTCCTGCTATAGATAGATCAGGCAGCTAGTTATGTGCCATGCGTGATACACGCTTAGGCGATCATGTATCTTTCGATACGTGACTGACGAGGCAGATTTTTCCAGCAGTAGGTTGCCATTTCTTTCTGCGGTAGACCAATTCCCATCCAAGGCTATAGAACCCAGTCTGTTCTTCTATAGATAGATAGGCAGTTAGTTATAAGCCCATGCGTGATTCCATCTTAGGCGATCATGTATCTTACGATACATAACTGACGATGTAGATTTTTCCCGCAGTAGGTTGCCATTTCTTTCTGCGGTAGACCAGTTGACATCCAAGAGAGATAGATAGATAGATAGATAGAGAGAGAGAGAGAGAGAGAGAGAGAGAGAGAGAGAGAGAGAGAGACTGGCGCTCTTGCTATTTTTCTCGCCAGAATACATTTTACACATTTATAATTCTACCATCAGTCTGTAAATTTAATATTGCTTGCATATCTGGTCTGGTGACCCGGCTATATATCTCGGGAGTTTCGACAGAATCCAAAGAAGGATCTGATATATTATTGGTCCTGACCTGGCATCTCGTTTTCAGTCACTTTTCCCACTGCCGTAACGTAGCTTCCGTGTCTGTTCTATAAATATTTTCATGGCCATTGTTCTGACGAGCTTTGCTGATTAGTACGTCAACCGCATAAATTCAAGCGTAGTACCAGATTTGCAGTTAGGTTTCACCATTTTACTGAGAAGATGTAAACTTAACTTAAATGCAACGTCAGTCGACATCTTCTGTCTTTCTGAAACCTGTTTTCTTTATTGTCCTTTCTCTTGACTAAAGTTTTCTTATTTACCTTCACTGTCAGTAGAGTCTGACGTCTATGTGGCATTATCGCCTTTGGGGGAAACAATTAAACAAAAAAAGAACATTAGATCATGCGCATATTTGTATCGGTACATCATTAAGCCTGTAGGTCTAATGGTAAAGAAAACTTATATATTTCCAGTATTTATTTAGTGATGAATATTTTAAATCAATTTAAAAAAAAATAATTAAAACCCGGATGTCCTCATAGAAAACAAGTAAAGGTTGCTTTCGACACCTGTCACTTCCTTGTCTGAGATCTTTGAAAATGTCAGCTCCTTCTATTAAAATTCCAACTCTAAGACATGATGATCTTCCTTGTTTCATACTAAAGAGATTACGAACCTTCGTTGTTGCGCGGTGATATTTTTATGTCATGTTTTTTTCTTGGATTTATGAAAAACGAAAATCATTTTTTTTAAATGTAAAAACAAATCACTTTTTTAAGCATCTTCATCAGCAGAAAAAACATCTCCCATAAGTTTCAGTTATCACCAAAACGCATTTTTCTCACAGACTAAGCTCAGAGAAAAACAACGTATCAATAAAACTGCGGTATATGGAACCTTCAGTAATTGAATAGTGAATACGATCCTCACTGGGTGTCTTATACTTTCGACCTTGTACCAGGAAGTTGCTTCACTGTGTTGTGTGAGACAATTTTTCTCTACAGAATCTATCTTACTTATATCTATAAGTCTGCCATTTTTTCATATTTAGAATATTTCTGCTAAATATACCCTTGCTATATCCTTGAGTTCCTTGATAAGATCCAAAGAAGAATATGCAATATTATTGGTCCTGATCTGGCGGCTCGGCTTTAGCCACTTTCCCATTGCCGTAAAGTTTCCTTACAGTGTCTTTTCTATAAATACTTTCATGGTAATTGTTCGAATAAGCTATTCGCTAGACTTTTTGAATCTAAGTGCAGTACTAGACAGGAGTCGAGGTCTCATCAATTCACAGTTGAGCTGACGAGATGTAGCCGTAAATACTATGCTAACCGGTTCTTTTGTAGCTTATGGAACACCTTTCCGGCTCCATGCCTTCCAACAAACTTCAATCTACAAGTATTTAAATGCAATGTCAATCGCTATCTACTCTCCTCCTGATTACTCTCTTCTCTTTCTGCTCGCCATTATTGTTTTTGTTCTTAATTCCCCACCATTCCTGATTCTCTATATGACAGGCTGCAAAAGACTCATATATATATATATATATATATATATATATATATATATATATATATATATATGCACATGGTGTCCCTGAAGTCTGGGCAATTAAGAAATCACATTAACTATATATTTTTTTTTTGTTTCACAGATTAAAGATGGTTTTGTCGAAAAAAAAGAAAAAAAAAGAAAGAAAAATAATGTGACTCAATGAAAATCACAGATGCAATACACTTGATTGAACGTATAAATAGTGAATGTGCTAAAATTGACAGCAATGTGAAGTTATCGCATCGAGTTCACGTGAATCTTGCAAAGCGCATTAAACTTCACATTACAAATGATGGAAATCATATTGAAGATGTTATTTGTTAATTTTTCATTTCAATAAAACATGTTAAAATTTCATTTCTTGAAAATATACGTTTTTGTCAGTGTGCAGTCAACTTTAATCTGCAAAAATTTAAAGGTAATCTATTGCTCTTCTCACTTTATTTTTAAGGGAACGTGGTTTACTGTTTAGTATGTTGTTATGCTAGAATAAGTACGAATTAGTAGTTGGTAGGATTTTCACTGAGCAACCCAAAAATTGCAGGCTTGTGCCATATCTAAACTACGCTTAGTTTTTTTTAAGTGTTTTTCTGTGTAAAGTTCTGGTTAGCCTCCGTCGATGTTGAGAAACGTTGGGTCTGCGCTTAAACAGTTATGCCTCAGTTATGCATCTGTTATGGCTGTACAGGTCAACGCGATTGCAACGAATGTATATGAAGACGTACTTCCTGATGTCGCCTTGTTTTCTTTTTGTTGAGCACATTTCTCTCCGGCGGCAAGCCTTCGTTTCTCTTCTCCTCGCTCCAGCCTTGGGTGTAAATCGCGTCTCCAACGTGAGCGATCGTTGGCGACGTCTTCCCACCTCTTTTGCATACGTCTTTGAAGCGAAGATGAGGTAGCCCTCGTGACCCCTTGTCCTGGTTTGTTACTTCTTAGCAGAGAAGTACCTTCGGAATGCTCTCATCTGGCATACGGTGTACATCTCCAGGACAACGGAGCCGACGCTCTTGGAGAAGAGCTTATCGGCTGAGTAACTGGATACGTATGAGAACTACGGCATTGGTGATCCGATCGGACCCAGAATGCGTCTCAGACATCGATATGAAAGGCGCTGAGGCGTCTATCCTGTCTAGAGTAGTGACCCTCATGTCTCGCTTCCGTAGAACAGCACGCTGACGACGCATGTCCTATAAACTGCAATTTTGGTGTTTGTCAATCCTAAGTGCTCCATATTTGGGTCCTTGTGCCATTTGTAACCTATTCAATGACTGTTCTACTATATGAAGGGAAATGTCGATGATCACAATTGTTCTTATCTTCAGTCTGTAAAGTGCCGGGCGATTCATGGCTTACAAGGCAGGTGATTTTCTTGCACTGGATTACTGTTTCTTTCTGCGGTCGACAGGTTGCCACCCAAGGCTATAGAACCCGGCCAGTGCTGTTATTCAAAACCATAGCTGGAGGGAGAAGAGATGGATTCTTATCTTTCCCAAAGTGGAATTCGAACTCGGCACTCGGATTTCTCATTCTGAGTCGTTATCCATTATGTTCTCATCATAGAACAACGATATTTAAACTTCCATTTGACACAATCCATATGCAACGGTTAATATATCAGGGATTTTAAAATATTGGTGCTAAGCAAAGACATTTCAAATCAAAATAACAGAATGTTACTTTTAATTACTTTGCGGTCGAATTATAGGTTTGGTTTGGTTTGGTTTACGGCACATCAACCTCAATGGGTCATTTAATGCCGACAAAATTTTTATTGCTGGTAATATTTTGTTTTGTCAAAAATTTATTTCTGGTAATATTTTTCCTTCAAAA